ATTTTTTTAATATTTGCATTTAGTGGTTGATATATAGAAAATTTTGATTTTAATGCATAAATATTTAAATAGATGATAATATAAGCTAATACCTAATAGAGGATAATGTGAACTGATATTTTTGTAAATATTGTCTTTAATTGAACTTTGCATTGATATGTGAATCAACATTTTATTACATTTTGATCCTGTGTGTATCCATTCTATATGGCCAGATACTTAGTTTCTTTATACACAGAGGCTACAAAAGGGTTAATAGATATTTTAAAAGAAAGATTTGGCAGTACACAAATCTTGGTTCCTGTTATGAGAAAACAATTTTTAGAAAGCTGAAATCATTGTCAGTGACCTTTTAATAAATCTTGTTATGAAAAAGAAAGCGTTAAAACTGCTTAAGTCTTTGAAATAACACAACAAAAATAGAAGCTGTGTAAAAAGTAGACACCGGGCCAACATTTCTGGTGTGATAAAACGGTCAACCATTTAATGACACTTCTTGACCACAGTTAATCATATTAGGTGTAGCTTAAACTTATGATACAGGCTCTTAGCAGGTGCTCTGCATTAACTAATATAAAGAAAAAAAAATACATGACATAAAAGTGGTAAACACAGCTTGTAAAGTTGAACTTTGGTATTTCAAATATTGATATGAATTGAGCTGGAATCCGAACACTTTTCTCTTGTATTTTACTTCATGCAAGATATCTTGAATCCTCTAAATTCTCAAGTTTTATCCCTCTTCAACACATTTTCTCTTTATTTCATCTGTCTTATTCAATGTACATACAAGAGAATTAACATTAACAGATAATTTAGGAAATTAGAAATTAAGAAGAAATTTTGAAGAGATATCTGTGACCTTACAATATCTGCATGATCACACATGCCTTATGCTGCATTAACATGGCCGAGCCATGCGTTACAGCTCAGCAATGCATAGGTGCTCATACAGCAGTTATTAAACATGTATGCAAAAAACCTTGTATTTATCACCAGATCACTAAGTATAACCTTATGGCTGTGCATCAAGATAAAAATAGATGGACTTTTAATGTATATTTTAATTATTGCAGGTAAAAATCAATGTGGAGATTTCCTTCTTTGAGATCTACAATGAGAAGATACATGATTTACTGGCGTCCTGCAAGGAGAAAGGGGGAAAGAAACCTACGGTTAGTCCTCCATCAATAATTAATAATAATGCATCTAATCAGAGTTCTATCTTTATTTGTGTTTATATGCTGGCATACATTCAAAAATTGACAGTAAAAGAGAAGAAAAATTTAATATAAATATATATTATATAACTTTGTGAAATCCGGTAATCTGATTGGTCAATACGAAGTCATTATTTTTTAATAACGACCGCTGAAAGCGAATAATGACTCGCACGAGCTGCCTCGTTTTCACTTTCGCTTTAGAAAAACATGGAAGTTCGCAAGTTGTAGGTGAGGAAAATTTAAAAGATATAGTGAAGAACTCTGAGGCTGATAATACAAAACAATTACAAGGATATCTGTGAATATTTTTCGGGAATACTTAGCACATACCATTTCATGGTTGAGTTCGACTTTTCCACTCGGCGAGCAGAGTTTTGACACTGTTAATATAACGCGATTACGGAGACGAAAGAAAATAAAGACAAGCTTGCCATGTAAGACTGTATCTTATCTTAGAAGACATAGGTATTTATATTTTGTCAGTGCATTTCCTCTGCAAGTGTAAACGAGTGCAATTCTCAATCTGGGGGAAGGGGTACTCTCTATTATTCGGAGATAGATATCTTGCGTTATTATTATGATATGGATTAAAATTCATTACCGAAACAATTTCCTCTGAGTAATATTCAATGAATTGTGAAACATTTACATTCAACTTATTTATGGTTAATACTATCTCTGTAAACATTAGGAAGATATACATTGTATTAATGTATATGGAAAAATATTATTTATATTATGTAATAAATATGGACTCAATGCACGGTCAATATGCATTTATGATGACCCAGGGTGACAGATATTGACCTCAGATACATGAAGTATATCGACCTCGGGCTAGCGCCCTCGGTCGATATACTACATGTATCTTCAGTCAATATCTGTCATTCAGGGTCATTATAAATGTATATTGACCTACATTGAGTCCATATTTGTATAATATAATATGAACTGAAGAAAATGATATCCATTTTCACATTTTAGCTTAAAGTACGAGAACATCCTGTCTTGGGCCCCTATGTAGAAGGACTTTCTACATATGTTGTTAACTCATTTGAAGATGTTGAGGTAATTTTTCACATAAATCTGTGAAATATGTACTGTAAACCACCTTTGCACAGCTTCTTATCTGCTAATTCAAGTACAAGCTGATACAATTAGAAACTTCGCTGTAAATACTATACATATTATTTTCCAAGTTAGTTTACAGTTTTGTTAAGATAATTTAGATGATTTTTTTTTTACTTTAAAAAAATTGTTTTTACCAAGAAATATTATGATATTAATTCATAAAAATTTGATATACAGGGATGGATAACACTAGGAAACAAAAACAGAGCGACAGCAGCGACAGGGATGAATGACAAGAGCAGTAGATCTCACTCTGTGTTTACATTGGTACTCACCCAGACTAGGGTAAGGGTCACATATAGAATACCTGTCAGGTATTGTAATCCCTGAAGATTGTATTAAGTGTCTAATACAGAATTACAAGATACCAATTGGGTATTATAATCCTACAAGATTCATATACTTAAAAACAAAATTTATATACCTTTTATATATATAAACATGTCAATTCTATATTTAATGGGATTGAGGGAGAATGATTATTAACATTATTTTCATGATATTTTCCTAATCAGGACTTAATGTATGAAACACAGGTAGGTCTACAAAGGTAGTTTTTGGATTTATTTGATTATTTTAACAGCTTGAATACTAGACTCTGTATTTGATATATATCAGATTGATTGCTGTTTGATGCTTCTATCATGTTCATTTATTATTTAGAGAATTCCTCATTGATCATTTGTTGACAGTTGATATTTTTATATATTTATTTGATTAGTTTTTTTTACATGTACCATACTTAAATCACAATATCTCTCCAGAGCTATTATTCTAGATTTAAAGATTATTCTTACCTCACAGATATAGTATGACAAACATGTACTGCAAGGCATGCAGAGATTTCTTTTAATTATTTTTCTGACTTTTGATACACTGTACTTTGAAAAAAATGTTTAGTTTCTGCTTGTAAAACATCTGCGTACCAAACAAATTTTGTCATTTTTTAAAATCAGAATAAAGAAAAGCATATTAGTAATAGTTTTTATGCACTTAGAGTACCATTTTGTTTCATTCACTAAATAGGCACAGTTGTTAATGAATTCTGTACAGTTTGCTTGTTTTTAGCTCTAAATCCTTTGTAGACAGATTTTATATTGCAGAAAATCCCCCATTTTCTTTACACACTACAAACACAGAAAGTTCCTTTTCCTATTCAAGTAAATGTAAGTTGCTACTGGTTTGGCTTCATGTTTTTTGTTTATATCTGATTTATAGACAGAAGAAATAGAGGGCATTCAACATGATCATTCCATCACTAGCAAAATTAACCTGGTAGATCTGGCCGGTAGTGAGAGGCAGTCACAGGCTCAGACCTCAGGGGAAAGACTCAGGGTAGGTAACTCAGACCTCGGGGGGAAAGACTCAGGGTAGGTAACTCAGACCTCAGGGGAAAGACTCAGGGTAGGTATATTACATACGGGGAAAAGGCTTGGGTAGGTAAATTGGACTTCATAGAAAAGGGTAGGTAACTCATCCTGGGAAAAGCTGAAGATGGATAACTTTGGCACTCTGAGAAAGGCATGGGAAAGTAGGTCAGGTATTGGAGGAAAGAATAGAAGACTGCATCTTCAGAGGGCTCAAGGATAAATCATCCCTGATACATGTAATAATATAGGGCTTATGGTTAGGACCTAGGTATCTTTCAGTAAAAAGTAGTTATTAAAAAAAAATTCTTTCTCTTCAAACTTCAGTATTTTATTTCTGGTAAACAGAATTTAGTAAATAGATAATCATATATCCACTTCTTCTTTTACAGGAAGGTGCTAATATAAACAAGTCCCTGCTGACCTTGGGAAAGGTTATTTCCTCTCTATCTGAGCAGTCCATCATGGGATCCAAGAAGAAAAAGTTTTTTATTCCATACAGAGACTCTGTTCTTACCTGGTTAGTAGATTCACTTGCACCTACAATCTAACGTGTTTAAATTCATGTAGAATAACTTTTAAATATTATTAGGGCCCCGCAAGGATTTGCGGGTGCCCAATAGTAATCACTCTGTCTGTCTGTCCGTCTGTCATTCTTCCGTCCACAAATTTTCTGTTTTTTCCTAATAACTTTTTTTATGGTAGTCCAATTAAGTTCAGATTTGGTATGGTAGTTCAGCAGGCAAAAAGACATATTTTGATGCTAAGTTTGTTTCTCTATGTCCTCTGGTTTGGAGTGGGGTGGTGGGGTAGATTCCTTAACTTTATATAAGAATGAATTGGCAAAGAGAGATAACTTCTGAAAATGTTCCCCATTGTAAACTGAATACTGCAATGAATGAGTCCCTTGGGAGTAATTAGCTTTCCTCCTGAAGAAAATCCAAAGCATTATCTTTATCTGTCACATTGAGATTAATTACCACCTCTGTCTACAAATGAAGTTTGTTTTGAAGTTTAGTCCATTTAAGTGGATTGAAGTATAAATGTTTTTACTTTTAAAATTTTTGTTGAAATACCCTACACAATGAGTTCATTGAATTCTTAAAGCAAGAAATAGATTAAAGAAGATATATTTTTAAAAAATTTTTGGTCACCTGAGTAACTCAGGTGACCTATTGCTATCCGTTTTCGGCCGTCGTCGTGTGTCGTGCGTCGTGTGTTAACAATTGAACATTTTCAGCTTCTTCTCTGAAACCGCTGAACCAATTTCAACCAAATTTGGTATACAGCATCTATGGGTAAAGGGGAACAAAAATTGTGAATTTTATGGTCCCTGCCCCCCTGGGGCCTGAGGGGTGGGGCCAAAACCACTAAAATTATTGCAATATTAAAAAATCTTCTTCTTTACTCCTGGACATCAAGCAGGCAAACTGATGGCATGAATGTAATGATCATTGAGTCCTCTACCAAAATTGTGAAATTCATGGCCCCAGTGTCAGGGGTTCTAGTGCTAGGGCGGGGCCCTATTGATTATATAGTGAAAATGCATTAATTCTTTGAAAATCTTCTTCTCTGCTCCTGGGTATTAAATAAACTAAGCAAGCACATAGTTATGATAAGAAAGAGTGCTTCTACCAAAATTGTGAATTTTATGACCCCAGGGTCAGGGGTTCTGGTGTTAGGGCGGGGCTCTATTGGTTATATAGTGAAAATTAGGGATGTCAACGAATATTCGAATATTCGAATATTCATTCGATGAGTTGATATTCGAATATAAATTCATGATTCGAATATTCGGATTTTAAGTATACAAGCATCAAAAAGAAAAAAAAATCTGGCAAAAACTGAAGTTTTATCAGAAATTGAATCAAATTCTCATCGTTGACCAATAATAAGATTTTATTTAAAACAAAATTAAAAAAACACTCCTCTTGGATTACCTTAAAGGTGTGAAGAGTTTGTCTATTAAAATAATATAAATTATTCATTTGATCATTTCATTAGAGGTATAACAGTGTCAAGTACTTAGAATTAGTTTGTATTGTTGAAAGGACACATTTTTGTTTATGTATACATCATTTAAAATCATTATCAGGAAATTAATTAGCTAAAAATAATTGCTTTTAATGTTTCTCCATTAGATAATTGTTCTTTGTGGTATAAATCTGCAGGGTTATCAGTGTACGCTTTGGTAAGATAATTAATTAATCTGGAACTTATTAAAAGAATCTTTTGAATTTTCGGGGGAATTGTTTTAATTACATTTTGGATATAAACTCTTCATATATTCTGTAAAATATTTAAAGAATATAACTAAAGTGCATTTACAAAACTCTACATGAAATTTTATTCCAAAATAATGACATAAAACGTATATATTGCTTGACAAAAGAGTGAAGATATATACATATTATAATGCAAGATTAAGTATTTATTTTATCGAATATTCGAATATATTCGAATACTACTATCGAATATTCGAATATCAATAATAGACAATTTTGACATCCCTAGTGAAAATGCATTTATTCTTTGAAAATCTTCTTCTCTACTTCTGGGTATTAAATAAACTAACTAAGTACATAGATATGATGAGCAAGAGTGCCTCTTCCAAAATTGTGAATTTTGTGGCCCCAGGGTCAGGGGTTCTGGTGTTAGGGTGGGGCCCTATTGATTATATAGTGAAAATGCATTAATTCTTTGAAAATCTTCTTCTCTGCTCCTGGGTATTAAATAAACTTTCCAAGCACATAGATATGATGAGCAAGAGTGCCTCTTCCAAAATTGTGAATTTTATGACCCCAGGGTCAGGGGTTCTGGTATTAGGGCGGGGCTCTATTGGTTATATAGTGAAAATGCATTTATTCTTTGAAAATCTTCTTCTCTACTTCTGGGTATTAAATAAACTAACTAAGTACATAGTTATGTTGATCAAGAGTGCCTTTTTCAGAATTGTGAATTTTGTGGCCCCAGGGTCAGGGGTTCTGGTGTTAGGGTGGGGCCCTATTTATTATATAGTGAAAATGCATTAATTCTTTGAAAATCTTCTTCTCTGCTCCTGGGTATTAAATAAACTATCCAAGCACATAGTTATGATAAGCAAGAGTGCCTCTTCCAAAATTGTGAATTTTATGACCCCAGGGTCAGGGGTTCTGGTGTTAGGGCGGGGCTCTATTGGTTTTATAGTGAAAATGCATTTATTCTTTGAAAATCTTTCCTTTGCTCCTGGGTTTTATGCCAATGATCCAAGTATATATATCTATGATGAAGAAAGTTGCATCTAGCAAAATTGGTTTTTTTTATGCCCCCCCCCTTGGGTTGGGGGTGAGGGGGGGGGGTACAAAGTCTGAAAATAAATTAATGCTTTGAAATCTGCTCTTTGGTATTAATCAACCATTTTATGATAAAATTTGCACAATTTTGAAATATGTGGCCCCAGGTTCAGTGGTTCCTTTGGGATGAGGTGCACAACTGGTTATAAAGTGGAAGTGCATTTTCTCTTATGTTACTCTGATCTTCCTCTGGATATTACGTATTACAAATAGAGTAAGCATGCTAAGTCTTTAATTATGATAAGCAATGGTGCCTCTTTCAAAATTGTGAATTGTGAATTTCATGGCCTCTGGTTAAAGACACAAACCAAATTTAATTGTTTGAAAGTTGTTGCACAATACTCAGGTGACCTATAAGGCCCGTGGGCCTCTTGTTATTTATTTTTTTCTTGCTTCATGTAAATTCAAGAATATTATTGATTTTCAAGGTAGTAGGATAAAAACCTCATTCTATCATTACTGAAAAAGTTCTTATTATAAATTCAGAAGAAAATGATGAGAGAGAAGTACAATTAATCCCTTGGGATTAATTATCTAGTCTGCTGCAGAAAATTTAGAAGGCTTATCTTTATCTGTCACTTTAAGATTAATGAAAACCTTTGTCTGCAACTGCTGTTTGGTTTGAAGTTAAGGTCAAGCCTTCATGATATGTATTTGCATTCATTGGAAGGCTGGCATTTTATATAACACAATCTGCCTTCATTATTGTTTAGATGTACATTTTGAGTTGTTCTTTACTGCCTTATATAAATACAAGGATATTATTAACAAGTTTTTGGATATTCAGGAATTATCTTGAAATTTTAAGAATACAGTTGCTGTTTCTTATTTGTCATATATTTTTGAATCATTCCATAAGCTGCACCCTTATAATTCTACCCCATGGCGGGGCCCTTGCTGACTGGTCAGTTTTCTAGTTATGTTTGCTTATTAGAACTCTGAAAATAAAATTATTGTTTGATTTCAGGCTCCTGAAAGAGAGTTTAGGAGGAAATTCTAAAACTGCCATGATTGCCACCATAAGCCCCTCCCACCTTCACATAGAGGAAACCCTCAGTACACTTAGATATCCTTTGGCACCATCTATTTATAGCATATCTAAATTACTGCAGAATGTTTTTATCAGTGGAATGCTGTCAGATTACATTAATGCTCATTTTGAATTTAT